AGTCTTACACAATTCACAGCGCTCACCATAGCACATACCCTCCCCAATGTCTATCACCCAGCCACCCCATCCCTCCCACCCCCTACCCCTCCGGCAACCCTCAGTTTGTTTCCGAGATTAAGAATTCCTCATATCAGTGAGATCATATGATACATGTCTTTCTTGATTGTACTCTCTTAACACCTGTTACCTATAGGAGAAATACAAAAGGTATTAAATATCAGGTTCTTTTAGTTCACACTTCATTCTTCTAAATGATGACTATATAATACTATAGGTCTATTTGTGAAAGAAAGGAAGTGACTATACAGACACAATGAGGTGGAAAAATGAGTAATTATCAAGTGAATTAAATCCATTTTATACTTTCCTTTCCCTTCCTCAAAGATAATTACTTTAGCACTCTCATTCTACTGTCTATGTAGACTGGCTACAATACTTGATGGGACAGCAAGCTGTGAGCTTTGTGGAGAACTAGGAACACCTTAGCTTGCATGACCTTTAATCTCTGCTTCACTCTGCCACTTGCAAACAGCTTAGCACAGAGCAATGGTTTTCAGAGTATGGGCTCTAGTCGAGCTGCGACAGCATTACTGAGCATAACTTTTAAAAAATGCAAATTCTCAGGTCCCACCCCAGCCCTACAGAATCAGGACCGCTGCTTAGGGCCCAATATTCAGTATTTTAATAAGTTTTCCACGTTATTCTAATGCACACTGAAATTCAAGAACCTCTAACATGGAGGAACAAGCCTGGCATTTGGAATCTAGCTCTGCTTCTTACTATGTAAACTTAAATCGGCTATAGAATCTCTTTGGGAAGCAGTTCCATCTACAAACTGAGTTTATAAGAATAAGTCTTATTGGCTCTAACTTCAAAATATATGTTAAGTCTCTCCATTTATTTTCCTTCCTTAAGTCCTAGCCACCAACACCTCACCTAGATGGCTCCCTGACTGGTTGTCCTGCTTTTGTTCTTGGTTCCCCATAATCTATTCACCACAAAGCAACCGGAGCGGTCTCTAAAGACATGAATCATATTGAGTCATTTCCCTGCTTAAAATCCTCCATTATACTCAAAATAAAACCCAAACTCTGTGCCTGGCTTGTAAGGTATCAGCCGCCCTCCAATTTTTCAAAACTTTTTGCCTTTTCTCACCATGATTTAGTTATATTGGCTTTCTTGATGCAGCTCAAACATGTCAAGTGATTTCCTGTCTCAGGGCCTTTGCAATTTCTTACCTTCTGACTGGGATGTACTCCCCTTGAAAGTCTGGCTCTTTCTCACCCTTTAGTTTTCAGCTCAGAGTTCAATTCTCTGACTAGTCTTCCCTGACTATCTTATCTTAGGAAGCCTCTCCCCTCCTCCTTATTTTCTGTCATATCATCCTAATTATTTTCTTCATAATTCTTATCACAATATGAAATTTTCTAGTTCATTTGTTTTCTTAATAGTATATTGTCTTCAACTTCTAGTAGAATACAAGCTCCTTGAGGGCAGGGATTTGTACAGCAACCCTACTGCCTAACACTGCCTGCCACAGTTATAGAGACCTCTTTAGGCAACAGGCTTGAGCAATGCAAACTTGAGCAACGTGAAAGGGCCCAGAGTGACCACCGAGCTGAATGCAAACAGGATTGTTAAGCTACCCACCTTGAAATAGTCAAAGGCCCTAACTGACCAATTACAACAGGGCAAAGTTCCTAAGGTTACCAAAAAAGGGAAAATTCCTTATGTTCCCATACTCCCTCACTCCACCCTATAACTATAGCCCTTCACCACCGCCTCATGGCAGCCATTATCTCTTTTGCTGTCCTGCTCACTGTTCCCTAGCAGTGTTCAATAAACTTCTATCTCCTTTGTTATAAATTGGGTGAATTCTTTCACTGCCTGTGCCGCTGGCCCCTACCCGATCAGGATGTTCCACAATACAACAGGCAATGAAAAAAATAGTTGTTGAACAAATTAATAATATATTAAAATCCTTGGAAAATGTCTACCTTGAACAACAAAGATTTATTGTATTTTACTCTTTAAAATTACAGATCTGTATTGTAGAAAGTGTTTTATGCTGAAAAATGTCTGAAAGAGCAGATTAAAACTAGACCACACTGTATAATGTATAAACTTATCCAGCCACTATATCCCATACCTGAAACTAATGTAACATTGTGTGTCAACTATACTCAAAATAACAACGACAACAAAACAACAAAACAGAAACTAGACCACGCTGGTCAAGTATAAGTCACGGCAAAAATAAATTGGAAAGACAGGGTAGGGTAAAATGTTTTATTTTAGAACGAGTTTTAATTCTTCACGCATCTCAAACATGAATAGCACATGCTAACCGAAAGGTACAGCTATAGTGGGAGCGCTCCTACCAGAAATAGGGGCTCCCATCATTCTGACACAGGGATGATGGGAACAACAGAATCATGTCCAGCAGGCCCCTGGAGGAAGGTTAAATGGCTCCAGTGTAAGATGAGAAAAATGGCCATTTTGCTAAGCCAGATGAGAAGTTAGCACACCTGTGGTTGTTGAAGTGGAGACTTGATGAACAGAATAAACAATTGGAACCATAAAAAGAGAAGCAAGTTTCTAAAGTCAAACCCATGGTTTATAATCCCTGAGTATAGCACATCTTAATGTTGTAAGAAATTCTCTTGTCAACAAAGACAGAATGTTCACGGATATGTGACTGGGGCTATTTTCTCCCCTTTTGTGATATACACAGTGATTTTAATTATAGTAACTCATTTAAATTGGAGATCTAGACAGCTGGATATTAGGAACTCCCAGCATTGGGAAAACCCAATAGAGACCAAAAAAATGAAAGAAAAAAAATGACAGCCAAGCACTTTTGTATAATTAATCTCTCCTGTGACAATGAAAACAGTTCGATGATTTCTGTGTCACTGATATGCTAGTTGAGGAAAAACAAAAGAATAAACATAGATGCAACAGCCAAGCACTATTAAAGTCAACTGATCTGACAAGCTTTCTAATACCAAGGGTGGTTGACAACTGAGAAAAAAGCTGAGTTATCTTCAGAAAGCAGGCAAATTTCATTCCGCTTTTCCCCCCATGCATGGATGCAGATAACTTCATTTAAAAGGGAAACACTGTTAGAACCTGATTTTCATCTCCAGGGCAGGATCCCTGAAGAAAAAAATCCATTTTACTGCACAAGGCTGAAGGCCAGTGACAAGTTTGATTCTCTAGAACAGTGACTCTGGAGTATTCTTTTTCCAGTGCAGGAAAACTTTGACCCACTAGAAAGCACTACACCAACTCTTGGTTACAAAACGTTTCATACTTTCATAACAAAAACAGATACTTCACTTAAAAGAAAACCACGAAAGTGAAAATGACTTTATTCAATTAGTTGAGCAACTGAAATAACACTTAGGAACAATCACAACTAAATTGAAAAGTCTATTCAGCTAATAAAAAAGAGAAAAAATTGGCCATTTACCCGAATAATTTCAGGTTGTCCTTACCTGACATATAAGAAATCATTATTACGCTCGTGAGAAAAATGTACCCTAAACACTTGAAAAATACATCAGTTTTATTTCACTAAACAAATATGTAACTTTTGGTTCTATGTTTTTTCAGTCAATGAACTATGGAGTCCTTTGCTTTTCAACCAATCAAGTATGGTATCAACTACCACAGTTTAAGAAAGAGCCAAGATCAAATATCAAGTCCATCATTTGACTTGAGTAGAATTAGTTCTTTATAATTGTTGAAGAAAGACGAATGATTAAAGAAGTGTGTAAGTTCATTCAAAAACTGTTGTCCAGGTAGGTCATCACGTGAAATAGTTTCTAGAACCATGTGTGCTTGCCTGCCACCCTGGATATATCAAGTATGTGAGTTCTAAATCCTGAGGGTCATGCGGGGGAGCTCCCTGCAAGCTAGCTGATGCTCGAAATCTCCACTCAGTTTCCAATCATGTTTCTAAAGAAGATTTTATGACTAATGAACAAAATCTTTGGCTATGTCTTAAAACCGAAATGCTTTGGGAGAAGAATTGGTGAAATAAATAGACCTTGTGGTATCTGTTATTGCAAAAAAAAGAACATTTAAAACTTCTGCTACAACTTGCCTCTAAAGAGCTACTCTCAGCATTTTAGTATTCACTGTTGTATATTTAAACTATTTTTGAATAATTATCAATCTACAATAGTTATTTCCAAAACCCCAGAAAGATGGGATTCAGACATGTTCCAATTTGGCAGAACTCAATTTGCTTTCTAAATGCCTATCCAATGAAATCCCTTTTTGGATTTCAAATCGATACCCTAACAGGGGTTTCCAAGATTGGCTAAATTGATGACCACGTGCTACCAGTTTTACATTTATATTATGTTTGGATCAATGCCGATGATTTGATTGGAATAGGAGCAGCTGCACATAAAAAGTCTTTGGGGTGAGAGAGATTTGTCACGCTCCACTCTGATAAGAACTAAATTTGGGGAGTGTGCATTTTTAAATGTTCATGGTACCACATTAAATTGCTATCAAATGGAAGCAATTACAAAGAATTAACATGAGCTCCAAATCAAAATTCAAAAGAAGAAAAGCACACAGTTTAAAAAGAAATACATCAGGAGAAGGAATCACAAAAGCTCTCTGGTGTCAGGTTTACAGCTTGATGGAAAGAGGAAAAACATTTCCTTTGCAAGTGCATTCCTACTAATACCCATCTCCCAAACACCTCAGCCTGATTTCTTCCTCTCTGCTCTGTCAACATCTTTGCCCCCCACCCTCACTCTCCACACCCAGAATCACCCCAGGAACGCTACTTAGCAGCAAACCAAGGGTTTTACACAGTCCTATTTGACACAGTCTTTCCTGAAAAGCCTGAATGCAAACTTCCCAGTTTATGCTTTTAATACCAAGGTCTGTAGCATGACAAATGATAAATTGCAAATGCAAACTTACCATAAAAAGTCAACTGTCCTCTTGCTACATTTTTCCCTCTTGAATTTTCAGCCACACATTCATATAAACCAGCATCTTCCTGCTGAAAATTGGGGATTTCAAGAATTCCATTTGACTTGTGTCTTCTGGCTTTCCTTGCTATAGGCTTTCCATCAGCTCTTCTCCAGATAATAGTTGGTACCGGACTGATAGCGAGAATAAAAAGAAGTGCATCAAATTCGAGAAAACTGTATCTTTTATTTGAACCTATGCTTCCCATAACCCCTTCCTTTTTGGTTCTGAACAGATAAGCTTGCCTTAGACAGTATTTCCCAAACTTCATTCATTCATATATCACTATTATGATTTTAGCCATATCCACATTTCTAGTATTACTATTCTATATATTGTGTTTTTCTTAGAATCAAATAACCTTTCTTAACCTTGAATAAAAACATGTGATATTATCACTAAAATAAAATCAGATTTTTATATGTTTGTTATATTTTTTAGTGTAACTGTTTTTTCCTAAATCATAAATATGAAAATAAAAATGTTCATGCACAAATGTGTCAGACTGAAGATGACGGCAATTCTTTCATTCTTCCCATACGAGGTCCAGGTCCTCCTCCGCCTTAAACCTGCTGGGTTGTTTGACTACTTTCATTATTGAAATAAGACAGAAGTGATGTTGTGTCACGTCAAGGGTTAGGCAAGAAGAAACTGGCAGCTTCCATTTTCTGTCCCTTGGAACATTCTCTATAGAACCTTACCAGCTTGTAGCAGCAGTTCACTAGGAGAGTGGTTTGAGGAAATTTCACTTAAAATAGTAAGATAAGGGAAAAAGCCATCTGTGGAGTCTTTATGTACTCTCAAGGCATCTATCATCCTACAGCCGTAACAGTGAGAACACATCTTAAATTGCAAGGAGGGCATCATTGAGTCTGCAAATCAATGGTTTAGCAAGCTAACCACAGCTTTTAAGATTGCAACTTCCTACCAGGGGATACAATTATTTACTTATTTATTTTTCACAAAAACACACACAGAGAAGTAATTAGGCTAAAGACTTGCTAATCTTCTCTGGAAAACCTGAGATGGTATTTAAAAAATTAAAGCCATCAATTCTACTATACTTGTTTTAGAACAATTTAAGTTAATTCAACAGACACTAACTCAAAATGCAGAAAGGGCTCTATCAAAAGTACATTACGGGTGCCTTTACATTTGATGAGATATACACTTAATATGTGCCTTTACAAATAACTGTACTTAGATATAGTCTTCCTGCTCGTAAGTGGGCAATGATGATGTGTTTTGGCAGCTGGATATGCATACCCAAACATTTCTGTGTAGACTGGAGGAGCCCAATTTTGGTCTTTTGTTTTTATTCCAGTGCCATTCAAGCACTGTGAATAGAGTTTAATTCATACCCCCTTTGAAGTATGAACGATGTAAATTTTGCTCTTTTTCCAAAAAAGATTTTTCAAGGTGTCACCTTGCATAGTTTACCAAATTTATACCTGGCCTATCCAGCTACCTGCTTTCACCTTTTCCCTGGATTGTGTTTCCCAATGTATATATTTAAAATAAAAAATGGGGCCATGTTATACTGTTTAGCAATCTGCTTTTAGTCTCTTAGCAATAAATCATGGGTATTTTCTCTGTCTCATATGTTGCTTTACAACTTGACTTTTAATGTCTGTACAGTGCTCAGTTCTATAGATATGTCATAGCTTATTTAATGTGATAAGTTTTCAGGATACAAAAATTTATCATTGTATTGTAGCTTACACCGCCCTGACTTAAAAACATGGAAACCAAAAGAATCCTTTTATTAGAGCTGAAAATCCAATGATAAAAAGGAACATCTTTCTTCTATGGTTGCTGTGAAATGCAAAAAATTTACAGAAACAGATTAGATGCTAATATGGGGGTCGAGCACAAGTTAGTGTTGTTGCCTTAGTCAACATTTGGGCACAGGGAGAGGATGAGGAATTAGCAGTGGGCTAGCCGGAGAGAGGGGGTTGGGTGTAGAGAATAACACCAATCATTAAAATCCACAGATGATCTAAAAATTCTCATTTCAGATGATAGTATCATTTGTGCCAAACCATTTTTTCAGGGTTACTGGGAAAATCTTAACTGATCTGTGTTTCATTTTCTTTAGGCCCTCTGAGAGATACTCTATGGAAATGTTAAGGGGATCTCAAGTAGGCTTATCACTCCACAGACTTAATAATAAAGTTGTGAATAATTTTCAGATATAAGATCTTACGTATCTTTAGCCAGAAGAGAAGGAAATCCAAAGTAGAGAGAAGAGACTGGTCATTTAAAAAGAAATTCAAGAAAAGTTTGATGCATCCTCTGTAAACTAGGGCCAGAAGGAAAGTCCATATTTTCCCAAATAGTCAGCTTGAGTGTACCTCAAATGAAGGCCATTGTTTTCCTGTCATTCTGGGTTAGACAGCATGCACATTACAGGTCACAATAATAGAACAAAGTACTTTTTCAGAATTGCCCATTCTCTTCTCTTTTGTGGCCACATCAATTGTGGCAGCCTAATCCCCCTTGCACCATTACATGTCCCCTCTCCATGGTGAGAGGGCAGAATCAAAGATGCATACATAGAATTACAAAAAGAAAGGCCTGTTTTGTTTTTCAGTCACCTCAGAAACCATCGCTATAAACAGTGCAAATAAAATTCTCTACCTGCCCCAGCTGAAGGGAGGACAAGATGGAAGAGAAACCAGAACTTACTTTCCTAAGGCAAAGCATTCCAGCTTCACTGTTGTTCCTTTGGCAGTCGGCACTGTTTCTGGGAAATGTACTTCTATTTTTGGCTCATATTCACCCATCACCCCTGTGAATAAACAAAGGAACTAAGTCTTTGAGGTTCTTTTAAAATGTACATAAGTGTTTTTCTGTTAATGTAGGATGCTCTCATACATCATTATGTGCACAATTAATTTCTTCATTTAAAGCTGGTTCTATCTCTAACCAGCCTTGAATTGTGGCTCTTCTCCCAGTTACTGCTAGGGGAAATTTTGTATCACAGTGCCCTACCATCTGCCTAGGATCAAATTCTCTATGCATACAACTTCACTTATCAAAAAACCTTTTTTTTTTTTTTTTTTAAGGCAGTCACCAACCAAAAAAGGAGGGCAGAGATAAAGTCCTAATCACCAGGAAAGTCAAATAAATTATCTTTTTGAAAACATACTGCAGAAAAATTTTAAATATTCAGAAAAATACTTCCATGGTCTATTATGTCTAGATAAGAAAAAAATCTGAATAATCAATTTGTGAACACAAATTACTTTATCATTCACTTTCAACACCAATCTGAATTAATCATAAATTCGTGCACAGAAGGTAACATCAAATGTCAGTATTATTGTATTCTGAACCAATGTAAAAAGGACAGTAGCAAGCAACTACAGAAAATAATCTTAAAATTATACCCACCTTCCTAACGGCATGTTTACTTTGAAGGTCATATTCTCCCACTTTCCCATATCCTACAAAATGCACAACTGTGGCCATGGTAACACAACCTAACAATCTAAGTCCATACTTTATAACTAAAGACTTATCAATTATTTCTTATCAACACATTCTTGATCCCATCTCCCACTATTCTAATTGATCGAATACATTTATTTCTATTCAATTTCTAATCCTTTTCCATGGTCTCTGATTCAGCTGTGCCAGTATAAAGTTTGGAATTATCTAACTTACTAAGAAATGATAGGATCCTCCATTTCACCTCTCTTTTAGGTTTCCCATAGTTACAGAAAAAAAGACTGAGGGATTCAGAAGAAAAGGTAAAAGCAAGGAACGGATGAGGACAGGTACAATGACAGAGAAATAATTCCACTCATTTTGCAGAGGTGATCCTTTTCATCTGCAGCTTTAATGTTTGGGAAGAATCAAGGGGATTTCCTTAATGTGTAAAAGCAAAAATCAACACTGTCAGATGGCATAACTGTCTAGCTAGGTTTGCTATGAGGTATGTCATCAACAGTGCAAAGTTGAACGTAAGTGTTTGGTTTTTTCCTTTCCTACAATGACAGGGAAGATTGGATTTGGAAGGGACCCTTGAAATAATTTAGTTGAGCATTTTTAATCTTGGCATCCATGGATGCACACTTTACCACAGACAGGATCTATAGTTAGCAACCTACTCTCAGAAGGACTCTGAATAGGGGCACCTGGGTGATACACTCGGTTAAGTGCTCGACACTTGGTTTCTGCTCAGGTCGTGATCTCAGGATCAGCCCCTTGTCAGGCTCCCCGCTCAGTGTGCAGCCTGCTAAAGTTTCTCTTTCCTTCTCCCCTTGCCCCTCCCTGCTATGTGCGTGCCTGCACTCTTTCTCTCTAAAATAAATACATCTTAAAAAAAAAAAAAAAGGACTCAAAACCACTTTTCCCCCATTATAATCAGTCCTAATCTGTCTTTTCCTTTTGTGAGCAAGGTTGTAATCTCAAAGGGGTCAAGCCAGTTTATCTTCAGTTTTACAACAAACTAGTTAGTGTTTCAGGCTGCATCTCTCATCCACGATTCCTCTTTTATTATGGTGTCTCGCCACTGCAATGAGTAACACTACAAAACTAGATTCAAATTCACGAATTCCATGCTTGCCACAAAGCCATTCCTTCCTTTTTGGCCGGTCTGAGTTCTCTTGCACTTAAATTTGGGTTTGCCTTTCTTTGAGCCTTTGCCACAAAGTTGGGCCAGTAAAGAAGTGGTGCTTGCTTATGATGGCATTTGCACACAGCTGCTGAACTTGCTAACCAACAGCGTGCGGTTGACTCATTGTCCCATAAATATCAGTAGTATGACTATGAGTGCAGAACAACTTAACACCTTTTAGTGCTGTGTGTGTGGTTATGTACTCCAAGAGCAGTGCTAATTAAAAAAAGAATTGCTTCGAGAAAAAGAGGTCTTTCGTGCTCCCAGGAAATCAAAACAATCTGCATTGCAGTGTATCCTGTCTGGGAGGGAGAGGAGACAATAATGTTAAAATACAAGGGGCAAGGCTGTTTCAGCAGCCATGGGGTTTTCCCCCTGCCTCCTCTTTCTATAAACATTCATATACACTAGGTTTCTTTAACTCAGCTCTAAAAGATATACCAAGGAGAGTAAATATATCTGACAGGACCTTTTCCTGAGGAACTGAAATATCACTGCAATAAAGAGACGGAGTGGAAGATACCCTGGCTTCTTCTCTCCTCGTCCTAAACTCCTACATACCAGGGCTCAGACTCAAAGTCCACGCCTCCAGGATCCTTTTCCTCCTCTGTCTGGCCTGTTCTCTAGCTCACAGTGGCCTTTAAATGACCAGAGAGCAACAAAACTTCTTTGCCTCGGTTCTCATTGTTTCCCCTGATTTCTTTAAAAAAAAAAAACAAAAAACCACACACACACACATTTATGGAGGTATAATTTACATACAAAAACCTGACCAATTTTAAGTGCAATTCAAAGATGTTTGGTAAATTGACCAAGTTGTGAAGCCATCACCATCATCCAGTTTTAGAGCATTTCCATCACCCATGATCCTTCCTACCTGCTCATAGTCAATCCTCAGAACCTGTTTCAGCCCCAGGCAATACCTCTAATCTGCTTTCTGTCTCTGAGAATTGCCTTTTCTGGACATTTCATATACATGGAATTAGACACTCTGTGTTCTTTTGCATCTGGACCCTTTCACTTGGCAGAATGTTATCAAGGGCGGCGCCTGGGTGGCTCAGTCGTTAAGCGTCTGCCTTCAGCTCAGGTCATGATCCCAGGGTCCTGGGATCGAGCCCTGCATCGGGCTCCCTGTTCGCGGGAAGCCTGCTTCTCCCTCTCCCCCTCCCCCTGCTTGTGTTCCTGCTCTCGTTATCTCTCTCTGTCAAATAAATAAAGAAAATATTTAAAAAAAAAAGAATGTTATCAAGGTTCATCCATGTTGCAGCATGTATCAACAGTCTGTTCCTTTTTATTGCTGAATAGTAGTAGTCAACTGTATGGAGATACCACATGTTATTTATTTGTTCCCTGGTCATATTAGCAACAAGGTAACACAAAGTGAGTGGCTTAAAGAAAAAGAAATGTATTCTCTTATAGTTCTGGAGGCTAGAAGTCATAAATGAGGGCCATGACAGGGTTCCACACCCTCTGACACTCTGGGTAGAATCGTTCCTTGCCTCTTGCTGCCTTCTGCTGGTGGCCATCGATCTTTGGTGGTCCTTGCCTTGCAGCTCCATCACTCCAGTTTCTACCTCTGTCATCACACAATATTCTGTGTGTCTTATTGTATTTTTACAAGGACAACAGTCATATTGGATTAAGGACCCACTGTCATCCATAATGAATTCATTGAACTAATTACACCTAAAAGACCCTATTTTCAGATAAGGTCATATTCTGAGGTACTTGGGGGGTTACATCTTCAACATAGCTTTTTGGGGGGACACAGTTCAACCCATAATACCAGTTAATGGGCATTTATTTAGGTTGCTTCCTCTTTTGGCTATAAGGAGTAATGCTTCTAAGAACATTTGCATGCAAGTCTTTGTGTGGAAATGTCTTTCATTTCTCATTTCCCCATGATTTTTACATGGATTACTTTTCTCTTGCTACATGTCTCAGCTCAAATGGAGCCCCCTTCAGAGAAGTTTTTTCTGAACACACTATCTAAAATAAGTCCCTATGTTATTCTTTACTAACACCTTATTTCTTCTATGTTAATTATCACAATTCATAATCATCTTGTTTATTCATGAATCTAGTATCTATCATTTCATCTAGATTGTAAAATGCATGACATCAAGTAATGTGCCTGCCTTTTTCATATGTACCTCTAGCTTCTATCATTGTTTCTTCACTTAGTAGGTAATAAAAAGCTACTGCCATATAAATAACGTCATTTTACACATAAATTCTGGGCCCCTCTCAAACAGCATTACTGTTTTCTATCATCTTTATAGCTATTTATATACATGTTATCTCTTTGTGCTTTCACTTCCTGGAGGAATGGGAATTCTTCTGATTTTTTTCTGTAGCCCTCACAAATCCTAGTTCAGTACCAGGCATATGAAAAAAAAAAAAAAGTGATCAGTAGGAGTTTGTGGAAGGGAGGAAAAGATGGAGGAATATGGGTCTTATACTATGACACATAGTAGCCATTAAGGCAAACATGTACTTCTTTCCAGGCATGGAAGTCATTTCTAAAGTATCTCATCACGGCTTCTTGTATGAGTTTACTCATTTATACCAGGTGTTTTTCTAAAATGAGCTCTAGGTTGTTTAGGTGGTCATATGGGTGATTTCTGGGTTGATACATACTGATCTATATTTATAGCTATAGAAATTAAAGTAACAGAGTTAGCAATAATACAGATTGATCTGGATTTATAGCAGTAGTTATAGGACATAAAGATATGGATCAGAGATGGGATGGCATGGTTTTCATGATGTTTAAAGAATTTTCATTATATATAAAGATTGTCCTAGTATTAAAGTCATAAAAAATGAAGGAAGCAATTTTCTCCAACTATATTATCAACATTTTGGGGGGGTGGGCACCTGTGAACTGTTTCATTTAATTTGGTTACATCTGGCCGAAGCTATATTTTTATTTGACCGTTTATTTCATTTTAACTATTTTGGCCTTTACTTTCTACATTAAATTTAAAAAGCTATTGCCGTTTTTATTTTTTATGAAACAAAAGGTCCCTTAAAACAAGAGTACATTTTTCAAGTCATTCCTCTGACCACCTGTACACTTTCGAACTTAATTGGTCTACAGCTGCTCTGCTGATTTACGGAATGATTCGGCAGAAAGAGGCTACTGATGGAATTGCTCCA